TGTGTGTGTGTGTGTGTGTGTGTGTAACAGCAGCTCCATATGAGTACTAATTATTAGTCTTTACTCTTAGTCTGTGTATCAAAGAGCAGTCCGTTCTCCCAAGATCGTTATGTACATTGCGCAGGTCCTAAGCTAGGAGCCTCCTTCTACTACCCTGAGAAGGGAAAGGCAACATGATTCCAGGAAATGTATCTAACAGGTGCCCACCTTGGCCCAGACTCTGCTGGGGGGATAGAGGGTCCTAAGTGGGGGTCCACTTGGTCCATGTGAATGGGGCTGGAAACTGGGCTCAGGCTTAGCCCATCTCTCCCTGCTTCATAGAAATGGCAGGAGGGCATGCTGTGCGGTCAGCTCCAGGGTCTGGATTCTTCACCTGGACCTGCTTCTGTGGGTGGTGATGCTCAGATCCTTAACCCTGAAAACCAGCCAATGCTGTGTTCACAGATTCCCCCACCTGAGGGCTGAGGATCCCTCCCCCCTCCCCCGGCCCCCCCTCGGTGAGAAGGTGACTGAGAGAATGAGCTCACTCAGCTGGAACAGCTGAGCTCTTTGTTCTGCTGACTTCTCACCTCCCCAGGCTGGTGAGGGCCCTGCTGCTGGTGGCTGTCCTTTGAAGCCTCTTTGTTGGTGCTGCTGGGCCACAGCCCAGCCTGCCCACTGGGTGGCTAAGTTGTTGCAGGCAGCTCCACCAAGAGGCAGTGTCTTAGGCAGAGACTGCAGGGATGGGAAGCACAGGGGTGTCTGGGGGCTTTGGGGAGGAAAGGGGATAGCCCAAATGTTTTCACAGTAGGCACTGTGTTCCTCCCCATCTGTCCCATTCGCTAGGATACGGCACAGGCTTCAGCTGGAAGGAGGGAGGAGCTGACTTGCTTGCACACCCGATGGGTGCTTCACTAGCTGTCTCCCAGGGGCTCACGACTGGTAAAACCATGTCTGGTTTCACAAGTCACTGGGGACAAATGCGGAAGGGCTTATGGTCTGTCCATTCCTTCATTGGACAAATATGCATGTGTGCCAGGCACCGACGTTGTGCCAGTGACCAGCACAGACCCTGTCCCTGACCACAGTGTCAGCTCTTGAGGAAATCCCCCCAAACCCACTGCCGTCCTGTTGATTCCAACTCACAGTGACCCTATGTAACGTTTCCAACACTACAAATCCTTGTGAGAGTAGACTAAGGTGACCAGACGTCCCGCTTTTGGCGGGACAGTCCCGATTTTTAACAATTTGTCTTGCATCCCGTGGCGTTTTTAAAAAGTCCTGATTTTTTGAAAGAATGCACGACAAGCTAGGGTATATGGTTTTCGGCTGCCATGTGACTATTTCCCCAAGATATGAGTTTTATCAATGGTGTCCCACTTTTGTTCCGCTTTACCAATGTTAAAATCTGGTCACCTTAGAGTAGACATCCTCATCTTTCTCCCACAGAGCCATAGGAGGGGGGGAGCAGGTTGAACTTATGGTTAGCAGCCTGTTGCTTATCCCACAGTGCCTCTTGACGGGGAGACAGGAAATCCTCTTGGATCCACGTTCAAAATCCTCATACATCCTGAACCAAACTCTCTCTCAACTTCTCCAACACTCCCTCTGTGCTCTCTTCACCTGAACCTCCACTGCCGCCCCAGTATGGTTTTCTTAGATGTCAGTCAGGTCCAGCACACCATTGAGCAGGTGTCCGCCAGGGTCTGAATAAAACCTGCTTCCTTGCTCTGTTCACACAGCCCCTGAGCTGGCCCCTGCCTGGTGGCGCTGAACCCGGCCTTCACCTGATTGGCAGTCCCATCGCACCCCACTGCTCTGTCCTTTAGGGGACTCAATTTCTCCCTGCAGTCCACCTTCCCTGAGCAGAACGTGAGCTCCGCAGGCAGAGGATTTGCCTTGCTGGCCACTGTGTGGTCCCACAGTGGAGTCAGTGCTCCCACAGACTAGCTGCTCAGTAAAGTGGGAGGCCAGCAGAAGTCCACAGTTGACTAAGGACAAACCAGGGAAGTACTAGGGAGGAAACAAACGAGGGGCCCAGCTGGAGGCTAATGGGAAGGGGGCTTGTCCTGCTAAGCCTGCAGTGGGCCCTCTGGCTGAAGTCCCAAAGGAAGAGTCAGCCTCCTGAGGGTCACAGGAAGAGGATGTGCAAGGCTCTGTCCCAGGAGCTGAGAGAAGATAGTGTAGGAGAGCAGT